CTGAATGTAGTCGTGGTACCAGACAAACTGAGCAGCGCAGACATTTAACGTAGGCAGTGTTTCTCAAAGGGCCCGCGAGTTGATTAGATTTCTTAAATGCTGATGCAAGTTTTAACCATTTTTTCCCATTTTATTCTTCAACAATGTGGTAAAAACTATACTTTCTATAAATATTTTAGGTAATCTTCATTATATTAATAAAAAATGTATTAGATAATTTTAGAGAGGGAGACCCACGGTTCCAGAAAGATTGAGAAACAATAGTCTAAGACAAGGGAAGCATGACGTGTAATGTTTTCTCTGAGGTACGAACTGAATTATTAAATAATATTTAGACGAGATTTGTCTTCAAAGGGGTAAGAATATAGTAAGCGTTCAACTTCTCATAGCCTTTTATTAACTTAAAAAAATATTTAACTTGTTAGAACTATAATATCCAAGATCAGAAATGCCGAGATAACATTCATAAACCGTACAAAAAAATACAGGTCTTCGGAGTTTACATGGACGAATGAAATAAGAACGGAAACTAGGCACCATGGAGACGTAAGGCGAGAGGAACGTAAAACTCCACGCATTCATAACCAAGGCACTAGATAGTACGTAGTTAGCTTGAAGCCCTGGCCATTTCGTCATCGAGTAAGAACCCCGGTACAAACTGAATGAAAGACTCGCTGAGGTTCACTTGGGGTAAAAGGAAAAACCCTATATGCTGGGAATTGGACCCCCTGACTTAGCTGTCCCAGATTATGAATTTGTTAACTGCACTGAATCATCTCAGAAAAAATCCGAATTGCAGGATTTTGTGATGACGATGATAAATACCTGGATTATATAACGTAGTTTCCCGACCTGATAATACTCTCAATTATTTAAAACTCTGAAATCCGTATTCTTTACATATACAACATTAAACCGCCTCTGACTTACGTAATCTGAATTACCAACCAGTCGTACTCTAAGTTACACTACAACATGACTTTTTCAAATGTTCAGCTGAAATCGACAAAGGTCCCTCTTTGAAGTCCAATTCCTTTTTACGTAGCAAATTACTAAGAATAATTCTTGTTTCTTTTATCTCTTCTTGCAGTCCTTCTTATTTCCTACCTTCCTTGTTCCCTCGCCTTACTTCCGCCTTTTTTCAATTTCTTTTTGTATCTGTTAATGTCAAAATTAATCGAACAGAGCACCAAACGACTTAAGTAATACTTTCTTTAAGTCAGAAGTGTGTACTGGTGTCACTCTTTGTAGGTAACAGCTATTAATTGAATTGAAGGTAATATTAGATTCTCTCAAATCCGTCTCAATTAAAAGAAGAGAGTGGATTCAACAATTTACATAGCATCTTCAGCAGTTGATTAGAGCACGCCAATATTAGGTTCTCAATAATCGTTTGTTTTAGAAGGAACCGTCTGAAGATATCTTATACTTCCTTGCTTTGCCAGACACTGAACAGGTAAAGTGGATTTCTGAAACTTTTTTAATCAACACTTCTCGGAATTCAAGGGTCTGTGAGTGAAGAAAGTCTTGTGACTTCTCAGAACGCTTCTATATGGCTTTCTCTTCTCCTTTTACCCCCTCCAAAACTTCTCCTTGCCTCTCTCATTCATTCTGACGTCTCAAGAACATCAGCTGGTCTGCTTCCCTGTCACAAAGTTCAATATAATGGGGCAACAGACCGTTCAGTCTGCAAATCCTCTGAATGACAGAAATCCTATGTACACACCACGTACTCCATACAAACCCAAGTTGTTCTTAACAGAAACATATGGATACTTCCACGTTGAAAACGTTTCTTTAATTATAATTAATTGTTTAAATTACTGTCAACAGATCTCAACCCGTAGAATAAAGTCTATAATTGTACTCATTTGACAGCTGAGAAATTCTTACTATATTAAAGTAAAGTAGAAGGAAAACGACTTCCCTTAAAATATAAAAACGTTTAAAAGTTAAAACAATTGTCAATTAAAGAAGTAATGTAGTTTCAGAATGTTAATTATACTGTTAATTTAACGATGGAGATCATATTTTTGTTCTAAGGAATCGTTACCACTTCATAACTGACTCCAAGAAATACCTGCACGTGTAGACACTTCGTATATACGTAAATATATACACACATTTATTTACTTTCGTACATAAAAATTTCTGCTTACTAAGGAGACTGACGATGGGTGTGACTCATATTATAGAATAACATGATTCAAATCCCGACCAGGCATGTAAATCATTACTGAACTACTTAGTGGTTCTACTCAGTCCCTCCACGCCAATTCTAGAATGTAAGGGTTTTATAAAATACGTCACGACCGCGACCGTATACTTTTGCGGATTTTATTATTAATAATAGCTTTAATGTATCTTGGCCGAAAATACTCGACCTCAGCAGTTGAGGTGAGTCGAAAAACAAGTGAAAAACAAACCAAAAGCCTCTATTCGGAAAACCGACGGACTCATATCGTCGTGACTATGACATGATAGTGGCTTGTGGTTGAACACAAACTAGCCGATTGAAATCCAACCGAAGCGCCTGACAAAGTTTAAATGCAAAGCTAAATGTACGTTTGTCTCTGCTTATTCATTATGAATCATGTCTAGAAGACATATGGAATGGTAAAGGTATAATCTCACTTATGATAACCTGGAAATTATATGGAGGTCAGTGACCAAGCCACACGCTCGGCCGCTTTACTCCGGGGAATACTGTACCTGCATGGCAAGAGACTAACTCAATTTGGTTAATCAAAATCCATTAAGTGATTTGTGAAATTAAACAAGCGGACAGAGAGACACTTTTCTAGTATACGCTACGGGCATACGAAACGAGTAGAAGAGTACGTCTCTTCACACACACAAAAAACAGCAAATATTGAAAGTCTCTTTACTAAACTAATTCCACAGAGCACAGCACCTCTTCAGAGCCTAAGAGACTTTCAGTCAGTCGAGAATTTCCCCGCGTTATTGCGATCTACATGAGTCACCATATTATTCTACCTCATCATCCCAACGATATCTTCTTAAGAGTACAATTTTGGAGGATTGTAACTGTCCAGTGTTCTCCGGCGCCCTGTTTTACCATCCTCTGTGGTCTAAATATTATACTCAAACGTCCTCAATCGGGTTTCCTCAAATTATGTGATTAACTAATCTAATCTCGATTTTTCTCTAAATAATATAATTATTTTCTCCTACATAATAATTAAAAGAAGCAGTGAATTTAATACCTTTATTCTACAAGATTTAATCCTAGGATGAAGGAATAAATACCACGCCTAAACACGATCTGATCTAAATAAGATACCTAAAGGAATTGTAACACAAGTTTGGTTATTTTTACATATTACGGACGTATTAAAAATGTGAGAATTCCTTCAGAGTCAAAATAGGTTGGATACTACCTCCTATTGTAGTTAATGAATTTTGACTATAAACTATTTGATACGACGAATTATTTTCTGTTCTCTCTCTCTCTCTCTAGCTGTACAACAAGAACCCTAAAATCTAAGCGTATCCACGGTAACTCACCATATACTACGAAAACACGGGCAGACAACATTCTCCAGCAGTTTGGAAAAAAATATTTATATGTCAGAGTGTATTTACCACCAATAAGAACACACACGTGTATTTAACCGTTGGTCCAAATGCCACAGATTACTCCCACAAGAAGAATAATACAAACCACAATTTTCTGTGTGCATTTCATACCAACTAAAGAAACGAGTAGGGTACAAACGTATTTTGTCTGGAAAGTTTCCTACACTTTCATCTCGACCGTGACAAGCGAGAACCACATAAGATACGAATAACAGCAAAATAAATACACAGCGATATAAGGCAAAGGAGAGCGAACTGATGAAATCCACAGCGCAGACGACGAATGAGTTCTGAGCACTGCATGGTTTACTTTAATTAAGGACTCAGAAGCAAGAACAATTCTAAGAGACAAAGTAGTACGACGCGATAAACCAACTGAACAAATTAATAATCTGAACATCCCAAGATATAATACGAATATTAATCATTATTATTGTGAAATTAAGTTCAGTTCTAATTAGAGACTTCCAAAGTTGTATTAGCAATGACGACAGTACGATTATTGCATTAATCAGAATACTAAACTGCAACAAACGCATAGAAATGCACTGATTCAGTGTAAAAATGTTCCTAAGGACTCATCATGTTAGAAATCAAACAATTATCACCAGGGTCGGAGCGTTCATGTTAACAGTACTGGGCCCGCTAACACTTTGAAAAACAAAAAAATGAAAAGTGTTATTTTCGCGATATTGCATATAATGGAATACAGCAGAACCCATCATATAAAACGTAACGTTGCCAGCTTCAGCCACTCAGGCGTAGATAGCCTGCAGGCTCACAATGAGCTCCTGGCAGGCTGAAGCTAACTTTAGAAGATACCACGAACGTCTAACAAAAGGCCTGAATGAAGAGTTTTAATCATGGTAACCAGAAAAGACCAAGGGCTTAACCCTGTTACAGATTATGGCACTATCACGATAAAATGAGACTCAACAAATCGGTCCTGTTGCCTTGTAGAGAGTGTAATTGTGATATCAAAGTTAAAATTATCATTTATTTATGGAAGACTATTTAAATATAGTTTCAAAAAGTTCAATAACTGTCTCTTTCAAATTTCATAATATTTAAATTTTTCAATTATATATTTCGTTCAAAATACCTTCCTCGAACAACGCAAAAATGAGTTGAGTGCTATTCAAACCGGATATTCTTTTCTGTGTAGAAGACAGTCTCTCAGTTATTCAAAAATGTCTTCCACTTTTATGGAACACAAAAGTCAATTTTCGTATTTAGAAATGTGAGCCACTGGACTCTACTCCGTTCCAGACCACATATATACTAAATATTTAAGATATATTTTAATATTATCCTCCTATATACATCTAAGTCTCACAAACGATAATATTCCTATGGCGTTTT